CCCATTTTTTCTTGTTCTGAAGGAGATTGAATGGTTAAGCAAAGATAGCATTCATTTCTTTTCCTCTTCTGGTACAACATGTAGTTTGCCTTCATGTTATACAGCCTTGTAACCTTGGAGTTGCCTATTCAGATCAAAGCGCATCTGCCCTAATGAAGCTTGTATCTACACTAAAAAAATAGCCTGACTGAAAAATCATTTTTATTATTTCACACATCTATACCAATGTATGTCTATTAAGTGCAAATACTTTTTGGACAAAAAAAATGTCATTGATTCTTTTTTTTAATTGTTAATTTTAATACACAGCAGTCACCCCTAAAACTCATGGAGTCTTATTTTTTTAAACATCCCTCAGAGAAGAGTGTTAGTATATCTCTGTTCCTTGTCTGGCAGTACCTCAAAGCACCTTCTCTTATTTAAGGAATCTTGCTGTTCAGTAAGCTTGCAACTTAGAGTCTAGTCCTGTCTTTTCATATTTATTTACTTCTCCTTTCAGCTCTTCATAAATTTCTCTGGAGATGGTTAGCAGCAGTTTTTTTCTTAGCTGTGCTGAGTTCCTGCTGGGAAGAATTCTGCACCACAGACAAAGCTGCAGTTCCCTCTGCAGTTATCTGTTTCCTGTGTTAATCTAGAAGTTATCACATTGTCATTTAGTATGAGTATTTTTTCGAACTACTTTATACATAGTGCAAGTTCAGACAGGCTTCCTTTTACAAAGTGGGAGGTTCCAGTTAAAAGTTATTATTTTTATAACTGATTCATGCAATAGCTGATCGACGTGATTAACATCTTTAGGGAGCAGTAGCTATAACTAGTGATTCTCCAGTAGGTATTACTCATACCTCCTGAGCTCACAAGGCTGTTGAATAGAGAGTACTATAGAATCATAGAATAGTTTGGGTTGGAAGGGGCCTTGAAAACCATCTAGTTCTAACCCCCCTGCAATGCCACACACTAGACCGGGTTGCCTAGTGCCCTATCCAAGCTGACATTGAATGCCTACAGGGATGGGGCATCCACAGCTTCTCTGGGCAACCTGTTCCAGTACCTCACCACCCTCTGAGTGAAGAATTTCCTCCTAACATCTAATCTAAATCTCTCCTCTTTTCATTTAAAAGCATTCCCCCTTGTCCTACCATTATCTGCCCAAGCTGTTGAAATTCACTGTTGATAAATGTAAAATAGTATATATTGGAAGGAAAAAAAATGAGCTGTTTGTTCATCTTGATTATTGTTTATTCATTATTCTTGGACATTTTTAACCTCATTAATCAGTGAGGTTAAAATCATGTAAGTCAAGTGCAACCAGATGCAAGTTTGAAGGCTTGGTTTGAGCTGGAACTTTAGTTCACTAACCTAATCTAATCTAACCTAACCTAATCTAACTCATCTAATAATATTTTGTAAAAAAGATGAGTTTCAGTAAAAGAATAAAAAAGAAATATTTGTCTATGCAGTTTGTAAATAATGTGTGCTAAAATGTATTTGTAACAAGAGAGAAAGGTAAGAGAATGGTGTTTTGGTATAGTAAAAAAAACGCTGCACACATTTTACTCAGACAGTTGCCTTGTGACTGAGTCCAGAAATCTGAAGATTGCAAAATGGGATTCAATTTTTATATGTGAAGGAACTTAAAAGATATATATATACATGTGTATATATATATATACACTTCCATAATTCAGATTTTAATCTACAGTTTAACTACTGCGGATATTGGTACAATCTTGGTTTGAAGGCATATTATTCCTATCCAGAAAAGTCTGTGCTTCTCACAGGCCACATGTTGTATCTCAACTCTCAAGAAAAATGTACACCCTTCATTTTGTAATATTTTGCTATGTAATCTCCAAATATTTTACTTCAAAATCTTCAATTACAGCACAATTCTTTGCACAGACCAATACAAAATGATCATTAAGATGTATTGCAAACACTCCAGCTGGCAATAGGGTTCTCAACTTGTTTGTCATGTCGCTTTCTGTACTGATTGAAGTAGTGATTGAAGTTGCTTATTTCCACAAACTACTTACCTATACATATTCTGTATCCAAATAGGACATATCATGCATAATCTTATGCGTACTTGGACTAATGATGATTTATATATCTATTGTACTCACAGAAAGGAAAGAGTGTAATTTCTTGTTCGTTGAGAGAATTTAAAATGTCATTTAAAGAAAAGACTTGAAAGTGATTGGAGTAACTTAGTTTTAATTACATGTTTAAATTATGCCTTATGTGCTATCTGATATCTGTGTGCCAGACTGGAAATGAGCAAAGGGCTGTAAAAGCATAATACATATCCTGAAGACGTGTATAAAAGCCTTCTGTTTTGTTTTGTCTTTTTGTTTGTCATTTTTGTTGTTGTTGTTGTTGTTGTTTTCCCCAGGACTGACAAATAGATGAAAACATTAAAACAAAGTTGTAAATTAGCATGCAACAAAGCTTTAAAAAAAAAAATAGAAATCTTAACAAGAAGTTTAAGCATCTGGAATTCTAAGAAGCTGGGGCTGCGTCACCCACTTTACAAAATGTTAATCCAAGAAGTTTCAACTATTAAAAAAAATAAAATTGTATGTCTGACAGATGCATTTCCACTTACATCCAGTCTTTAGTGCCCATTTTTCTAACTAGTGGATTGAGGATAATGACAGGCTGAAACATTAATAAAGTTCAGTAGGTAGATTGAACCATGCAGATTGGCAGGTACAGAGCAGGGTCCTTTCCTGCCTTTGCAGTTCTGCTTTTTAACAGAATTCACATTAATTCCACGAAATCCAACAATAATCTTGGTTTGGTTTTAACCATAGTTACAGATGGCATTTCATAGAGCCTAGCATGTAGCTTTCAGGATTTATTTTTTTTTCTCCATCTAAATATGCAGAAAACATGGTCAGCAAGGAATAATTTAGTCTGAAGTTTTTCATCCCTACTAAATATCCTATGTGAGAATCTGTAGTGAAATAGCCTTACATTTAAAATCAGCTTGAGTTCCTCAGCTGGAAACTTATATTAATCCCAAAGCTAAAGGACATGATGTTCAATACAATTTCCCAGGGTGAGGTCTGTTTTGTACAGCAGCATTATTAAGCATGATTATCAGATGAAAAGACACGAGTTCAGAATGAAACTTCAACTTTCTGCTGGTTTCCATTTTTAGAGTTAGTGTGGTGTATAAACATTCACCGATGTCTTCCTCTTTCTCAGAAAACCTTACATCTAGCAAACATTCATCAGCTCTGTTTTTCCAACAGTGGTAACTTCTTGATCTTCTCCATTTAATATTTTGATTCCTTGTTTTGTAATATGCACCTCTGTCCCATACAAACAGTTCCAAGTGGCTCATATCAGGCATTTTAACTCACTATATAAGGGAGTCTGTGAAATGAGCATACAGAGAAGGTGAACTTATATATTCTGGAAAACAATGTACAATGCAGGCATTTCTCAGTGCCTAGATTTTGTTTACCTTAGCTGCTGATAACCCTATGTACACCATTAGCCTGTAGAAAGCTCCTGTTCCTTACTTCAGTTGTATGCGTCCATAGTCTGTAAAAAACAATAAGACTTCTAATGTTGAAGGAAGGTCACAAGTGCAGTACAGACATTCTTATGTATTTCTCTCTATCTGAGCTGCCTGCTGGCTGGATCTGATCTGCAGGAAGTTTTCCTCTCAACACTACTTCTTCTTCAGAAGCAGACATGCTGTGCTGCCCTATCAGCCATCCTCTGAGGAGCCGAATTTCTTTTAAGCTTGTAGAAGGCCAGTATGCAGAGCTCACAGGATGAAGGTACTCCACCAGTGTAAATCCATTTGCATCTTGACCTGCATCAGGTCAAGCAGTATGGCAAAGAGAGAGATTTTGTTTGTCATTTATTGATGCTAGCCTTCCAGTAGTCCTCTCCATTCTGAAGCTAAACAAATTCAGTAAGAGTGATGAACCAGTTACTCTTCTATCTTGTCTCTTTCAATTCATCACATTGAAGTGGCATTAAAGTTTTTCTTATCAGTATCCAGACATCAATCCATATGTTCAGTTGCCCCCTATCCTTCAGTTCATTCCTCGCCCTTTTCTTTTTGGTCATTTATTTGCCTGTCTCTTTCCCACCTTTCTCTCTCCGATTTTCTAAAGAATAGACTTTGAAGGCAGAGTATCAGTTGTTAGTGATCTCTGTTCCTGCATTCATGGATGTGGTGTGCTCCCTGACTCATAACTCAGCTTCTTTCTTCTAGCAGGCAGAGAGAGGAGAGTTATACATATTTTTCATATGGAAGTTTTTGTGGGCAGCAATTTTCAGTAATGATAATTGGTGCAGCTGTTAGTAATCAATAATACATCTTCAGCCTAGACAGCACAGTAAACTAACCTCCTTTCACTTTGCATGGCTTCCAGAATATATCTTTAAATGACAAATTAAATTCTTATCAAACTTGGGCAATATTGTAATAAATATCATCACAGAATATTTTTAATGTCAAATATATACAAACTAGTACTAATACTAATACAGTATGTTTTTTTAAAATATTTAAAATGTTTTAAAGATGACTGAAAATAACTCTAAGGATGATGGTGATGTCTACACATCCTTTATTGTATATTAAAACTTAAACATGCAAACACATACATTTGTCCATCCCATTGAATAATTGGCATACATTTACACTAAATGGAAAGAAAAACAGGTTAGGAAATAGAAAAGAAAAAAAAAAAAGTTTTATTTTTTCATGATCAATTAGTTTGTAAGCATTTTGAGTGAAATGAAATCAGATTTCCATCTTTAGAGACTGCAATTACCTACAAAAATATTTGTGAAAATTATGATTTTACATTCGCATATAACAAGTATGACTTGCATGCAAAAATAAAAGAGAAGGTGAAGTAGTATGTTTATTAGAGTTAAAGCTAAAAAAAAAAAAAAAAAAAAAAAAAACGTTTTGCCAGGTTAGCCCTTTTGCAGAAAGATTGTATAATTTGTATTTAACTTCCATTATTTTTATGTGGACACATGTATATGGTGAAATATTCTGTGTCTGAAAAGAATTGTGCAAGTAAGGGCACAATCCTAGCAGGATCCGTATGGAGAGTAATGGCTCTCTGCTCTGAGTTGGAGAGCCACGAAAACAAAAAGCAACCTTAAGCTTTAACACTTTATCCATCCTTTTTCAAAATAGATCCTGGGTGGCAATCTGTGTAAACTCACGGATTCATTATTTGAGAAAGCAGTTGCATAGAAAGTCTGATGTCAAGATGATGTCAGCCAACAAACCAAAACTATTGAGCTGGCTGAAGTGTTCATCAAGGGCCTCGAGGTAAGAAGATTGCCTGAATGTTCTAGATAGTATGAGTTTTGAAATATCTGAAGTGTTTTGTTAAACATTATGTTGAATTTTGAGGGTAGTGTGTGTGGATAAAAATCTGGGGTGACAGGCAACAAGATGACCCTCATTAGAAATAATTTAAATGGAAAGAAACATAAAAATAAATAAATAAATAAAAATCAAATTCTGAAGAGTAAAATGTGCTGCACCACACCTGAGAAATATTACTCTGCATTTCCTATGAAAAACAAAAAGCAAAAACCACAGGTAGGTGTCTGATATTGGCGAAATTGCTAAGGAGAAATCTCAATAACTAAGTCACCACATTTATACACAATTGAGAACACACTGTGACAGCCTGGGCAGCCTCTAGTTAATGAGCAGAAAGACTGAATAATCCTATAGGTCAGGATGGAGTTGCCCTGTGTCTGCCCCCACTGCACTTTAGATTGTAAATAAGTGCAAGGCACCAATCAGATACTTGCTGTTTGCTTTTGTTTTTTTCCTTTTGCAGAAACCATTCATTTTTAAATAAGAATGAAATGCATTTGTGTTAAAATTATACATATTTCAATGTGGTTATTACCTTTATTTGTAGACAAACATCATTAAAGCTAGCATGTGCCTATTTAATGGTCACTGAAGTCAGCCACAGCATTGCTATGCATCCTCTCCAAAGTCTTTACAGAAATCGTACTGTCTTGGTTCATCATCTAGAATTTTAGCAATTCTTTTTTTGATGAATAAATATAAATACCATTAAATTACAAATACAAAGAATAATCACACTACTACATGAGTTTCCACAGCAGTCTGAATATTTTTTTTCATAAATGTTTTAACTTGGATTTCATAAGACTCCTGTGACTTTTCTTTCTGTGATCTTAGAAACTATATTTTTCTTTCAGCAAATCTCTCAGTGGAATTTGGCAATTAAGAAGATTAAATCAGTTTGGAAGAAAACCACTGTAAGAATATAGAACTACTACTACTACTAATAATAATAATAGTAACAATAATAATACATCCATTTTTTATACCTGATTCTAAAATGAGTATAGTTAGAAATTTAAAACATGTGAATAATCCTTGTTTTGGTAGTAAAAAACAGTGAAGTCAGTGGTGTGTTGTTTTTTGCTTATGAGAATTGCTGTTTGTCTCAAGATGCCTTAATCGGTCACTGATGGCCTGACCCTACAGACCCTCAAAGCTTTTGGACACACTGTAGAAGCCAACAGCTCTTGTTTATAGGTAGTCTCTGAGTCTTGGGTTTTGAAGGTTTATGCGTGGTTACAAGTTTTTCTCCAAGATGAGGTTTTATTAGCAATCTTATTGTGTAAGTTAAGGGGGAAAATATTTAAAAGGATTAATTGAGAATGTCACATCTTTTCTGCTGAGAATAAATTCTTTTTGACTAGAACAGGAGACAGTTAACTTCTGAAAAGCATCAAGACTGATGATTTTGTCTATATAGCATTGACCTGGAAGCTCAACCATTCAGACTAATAAATCAGGCAATTTATATTTAATCATTAACTAACTCCCGAGCTGAACAGCTGTTCAAAATTAGAAATGGGTCACCCCGGCCAGGATGACATTACAGGCAATCTATAATGCATTAGAATAAAATTACAGTGATTTTTAACTGTCTGGAAATTTATTACACTGCATGTTCCAACTCTTAAACCCTTGTTAGCCAATGTCACTAGTGATTTATGGTGCTTGGGCGGTATGGTAAAATTACTGAAGATTTAAATAGACAATCATTCTATGTTTAGTAAATCTTCAAATTTCAAAGCTATTTTGGAGAATGAGGTGGGTGCTCTTTATTGTTTATGACTTACCAGTCAGTGACAACAAGGAGAGAGAATGGATAAATCAAAAGCCTTCTTGTAAATTAATGGATTTATTGTCTTGTTGCCTTCATTTAATGATTTAAAGAAGAATCCAATGACTTCTGTAGGAAAAATGGATGTCTAAAATACTTTAAAACACAACTGCTACCTTACAAAGATTGTTGTTAGAGCTTTCAATGGCCCTTTACTTGTCATTTGTTGGGTATCTCCTTTGGACATTACTGGTTTAGCAAGACTTCACATACTGAGTTCCTGCATTTTCACTGTGAAAAGTTTAAATGCTAACTCTTAAGCACTGAATTTTAAAGAAAATTCCAGTTCCTTAGTGGATATTTTATATTCCCACTTTATACTTGAAGAGCTTTAATCTTCTGGTTAACCATTTTAGTAAATACTTCTGATTTTCTGAAAAACATAGGTGGAATAAATATCAAGTTTATCAGTTGTTCTGTTTGTTTTTGTACACACACACACACACACACACACGTATATATATACATATTTATTTATTTTTTGTAAATGAAAGAAACTATGGGGGATGCTTTCTATTCCATGGTTTTCACTGATTTTGATTAGATCATATAAAGGACAGGAAAAATAAGTTTTGCCTAGTCATCACTCTGAAAAATAAATGTCCCAGAAAATAAGAGTCAGTCTCTCATTTATGCTTAAAGCTGACTGTTCCTCCTATGTATTTCTTTTAAGTATTTGGCACTCGTTCATTTTTTCTTTCACAAGTATAATTGGTATAGGTGCAAGTATCAGAAATAAGGTAAACTTTGTGAATTCCAGATCATTACAGCTCAGTTAAATTTCTGGAACTCATAGGTAAAACAAGCCAGACCAATAAGAGGAAAAAAGACAGGAACTCTTTTTCCCTGCCCCATTCTTGGGAAAAATAAATAAATAAATGAAAGTATAAGCCACAACTTTGTTGATGTTGAAACAGCTTTGTTTTTTTTTTTTTTAAATTATCATTATATTTTTTTCCTAGTAGTCTTCTTTCCTTATGCTGTCTTCTGAACCTGGCTGGAAATGACTGCACATTGCACAAAACCCCACTGCCATGCTGTAGCTGCCAGCAGCCTGCCAGATGCTGCCAATATTGCAGTATGTCTGCCGTACTGTACCTGCCCTAAACAAAAGCACCAATTAGCGTGGGGGGGAGGGGGGGAATGACATAAAATGCTTTTGATGAAGAGCTTCATCCTAATTTTTCAGATTGAAAGGGTTCAAATTGCCACCAGAAAGCATGGATTGTTTTCAGCCTTATGGCCTTAGGAAGTTTATCCCTCACTGGCAAAGTACATTTCCTGTAGTGCTTTTGTATATTTAACATGGAGATTAAATGTTCTGTCACTTCTAAGTTGTTCAGAAGCTGTCATTTTCTAATTTGGCTTTGCAGTTTGAAAATGTGCATTGGAGCCAATTTGTTGAAAACCTCAAAGAACGAAAGAAAACTTTATGTGGTGGTGTCATGTTAGCAGCAGCATTTGTGTCTTACTTTGGACCCTTCACAAAGCCATCTCTCCAGGAACTGATGCAACATTTCTGAATTCCCTTTCTAAAGTCACAAATGGTTCTATATATATATATATAGAACAATATATATATATATATATATATATATATATATATATAGTACAAAATGTGAGTCTAAAGTGAAGGGTCTGGTTTCCTAAAGTCACTGTCTTTTGCAACTTTGAAGTATTTTTATTGATTATTGATCGTATTTAAAAGTGTCTATAAAATACCTTTTGCAGTCTGTCTGTTTTCTAGTTCATATGTACATTCCTCATTATTTTGAAGAGAATGGAGGGGGGGGAGAAAGGGAGAAAAAGTAAGTTCCTTCCCTTTCCAACTCTCCGTGTGAAATTCTGTTCTTTGTGACACCTGTGTGATAGCAAATGCTGTGAATACTGTTAGCAATGTAGAGAGACCTATTCTGTTTAGCTTTTCAGCTCCAAACGGTGCATGCAGTTCATAACGCTCCTTTCTCCATACATGGAGAAAACCGTAATAGTATTCAACAAATTTGCAGAGCTGAGTAATGCAGAGCAGCGCTAACTCTTAGAGTTGTCTCTGCACATCTTTCTCCCTCCTTGGCCTCCTAAATATATGCCTTGTACCTTATTTCACCGGCTGCTGCTGCTTCATCTCTCTTAAAATTGGTCATACAGTATGGCTGTAGCACAATGTGGTATGAGTAGCATGAAGAGTAAACTCACATGGGTGGAACAACTTTATAAAAAAAAAAAATAATTCATATTCAAAATTTGTATTTTTTAAGATGCTTTCACTGAACAGTATTGAAATAAAATAGTTCCTTTCAGATTTGTTTGTTTTCCTGCAGGTGGAGAAGAGTGGTAAAGGAAGAGAGAAAAGCATGTAGGTAGTGATGTTAAAAATAGATGATCATTAATAGTAATTTTTAGAAAGAACACCAACTAGTTCTGTGCCACAAAGTATCCATTTTGTACAGATGTAAGGACAGTAGATGTATCAGTATACTAAAATACATTTCTTGCATTGTGTCAAAATGTGTATTAGAAATTTTAATAACACTCCAATGTTAGGTTTTTCCACAAAAAAGTATTTCAGCTCATGGAGCTGAACGTAGTGCTTGCCTTACAGTGCAGGAATAAAAGAAAGAACATTGTCAATCTTTTGGTATATACAAAAAAATTATTATATGCAGGGAATTAATATGTTAAATATTTGCAGGGATGTCTGTCTGTCTAGTGCTTTTGTGCTTGGATTTTCAGCAAGTTCATCAAATGTTAAGTTTATTTTGCACTCTATGATTAGAATCAGGGTTTAGACAATTGTTTTCCTAGTATGCTAACTATGACATTTGTGCCACAGAAACTGCACTGGATATATTGTTCTATTATTATTAATGCTAATGTGCAAATCTGGCTCAAATTAAAGAGAAGAAATAATTCTATTTATTAAATGACCATCACATTTGCATGCTTTTTGATTTTAGGGTGCACTTTTAAGATAATCTCAAATCTACAAGCCAGTACTATAGAACTATACAAGGACTATACATGTCTAATGAGAAGAAATTTTTTTACAGGAGTATTTAAAACACCTCTGAATGGTATTGAAGATAGACAAATATGGATGACGCTATTCTTTCCTTTAATTTATGCTTTTACAATACAATCCAGAAATGACAAATAGGAAAGCCTGGGATAATGTGGTGAAGGAATTGGTGAGAGTTTGTCCTTTATCTCAGTATGGAAAAATTAGGGGCTACTAGTAAAAAACAGTGTTATATTGGTATCCAGCAAGGGGAGGCTGTCTGATGGCTGCTTTAGTGTGCATGGAGCTTCGTTCTCTGTGAGCAGCCACTCACATGAGTGCTGCTGCTGGCGCTACACAGGTGCTACTCTACCCTCTCCTCTAAGTTTTGAAGGTGACCTCATTAACACATAGCTGAGCTGTATTAATAAGATCCCAGGGGAATCCTCTTGGTAACTTTTGTGCTATTAAATACACATTTATATACCAGAAATACCTGCTCAAGAGAATACTTGAGCATGGAATTTGCAATATCAGAATCTAGATATGCTGAAATTTATAATGTATAGTTTTACTTTATCAAATATATTTTATGAATTAAATGTCTTAAATTAAAAGACATTTTTTTTAAAACCCAAGATAGATGAAACAAACTGATTCTCATCACATTTCCTACTATGTTATTTTGCATATGATAGTCTACAGAGGTACTCCTTACTTTCCTCCCTAGAAAATCTTAATTTATATCAGCCTAGCTGTATCTTGTGTGTTACACTGAGTCATGCCTTGCTGCTTGGTAACCTGACTGGTTTATTATATTTCACGCGTGCTTCAAAGGTTCCTGTTCCTGTGATGGAGGGCCTGGACCCAATTGCCACATTGACGGATGATGCTACGACTACAGGATGAAGTAACGAGGGACTGCCTGCTGATCGGATGTCAGCAGAAAATGCCACAATTAAAACACACTGCAAGTGCTGTTTTTTTATGATAGATCACCAGCAAGAGGGAATTAAATAGATAAAGACTAAATACAGAGCTGACCTTAAAGTCATACATGTAGGACAGAAAGGGTATGTGCATGCTGAAGGATTGTCTTTTACATTCACTACCCTGAAGTTCCTCTAAGTTTTGTAAGGGACAGGCACTGGGCCTGTTCAGCCTGGAGAAGAGGAGGCTGAGGGGAGACCTCATCGCAGTCTACAACTTCCTCGTAAGGGGGTGTCGAGAGGCAGGAGACCTTTTCTCCATTAACACCAGCGACAGGACCCGCGGGAATGGAGTTAAGCTGAGGCAGGGGAAGTTTAGGCTGGACATCAGGAAAGGGTTCTTCACAGAGAGAGTGGTTGCACACTGGAACAGGCTCCCCAGGGAAGTGGTCACTGCACCGAGCCTGACTGAATTTAAGAAGAGATTGGACTGTGCACTTAGTCACATGGTCTGAACTTGGGTAGACCTGTGCGGTGTCAAGAGTTGGACTTGATGATCCTTAAGGGTCCCTTCCAACTCAGGATATTCTATGATTCTATGATTCTATGATCTTGAAATGTGTTTACTTGAAGACTTGAGATATTACAACACTGCAGCTTATTTATCCATAATATCATTTTCTATTTGAAACAGTACATTTTCCATTTGAAATGACATAAATGTATTGAACTGATATAGAACTCTTAACAACTGAGAAAGTCTTTGCAAACAGTTTTGTATGGTTTAACCAAGCTCTTTCAGAAAAGCTTCTTCAATTCTATTATAGATGTCTTTCTATAAGCATCACTTATCTAATATTTCTAATATTTACTTTTTTTTTTTTCATGGTAAGTTTTCTGAAGACCTTTGTCTTGTGGAGAGATTATACTCATCAAAACCACGGTGATTATTGCCTGATCTCCTGATTGGAAGGCATACCAAAGGGAAGGTAAGTATAGCTTGAGTAATCAGAATTTTTCATGATGACTGGATCTACAATGTTTTGATTTTCTATTTTTTGCTTACTGTTCCATAACACTTCATGAAGTTATTTATTCCTTTTAAAAATGCTATCCTTTAAAACTGTTAATGAGTAAATATTAAAATGTTAGTATCTGCATCTGATTAGATAACAAAATTATTTTCTCAATTCTCAAATTGGACTAGAAATACAATATAGACATGCATGAGAGTTTTCTCAAACCAAATTGAAAATGTTAACTTTTTTTTTTTTTTAGTATAAAGGTATCTTCTTTTTTTCTGAGCCAAAATATAATAAACGTTTTGTGACTTCCATTTTAGGCATCTATAGAAAATGGGAAAGTATTGGAAATGACAGGCTAGATTTGGATTTAATAATATATAGGATTTTCAAGCTGGAATATCAGCTTAAGGAAACAATACCTCCACTTTGCAGTGTGTTGCCATAAATTTTTGTTGGGCCAACCCATGAAATAAATCAAGGAACTGGTTTAAAAATAAATAAATAAATAAAAGGCTGATGAGGCAAAACTGATGAGCTACAACATCGGGCAGAGATGAGCAAACAGTTTTTGGTTGGTATGATTGCCAATGCCCTGAGTGTGAAACCAATCCAGTTGTCAGTGTCCTCAAATCCTTTGAGGCAGACATAGTGGTGGTGTTAATGTCTCTTCAGCTTTACCTAGAAACCTAGTCTGTTGTCAACAAAAGTCACATGCCCCATTTCTCATGCAGTGTCTGAGGACAGAGCCTGTCCCATACTCTCCCTCCTGCTGGCAGCAACACAGCTCTGTGAGCTCCAGCCCAGAGGTCTGGAGGTGGGTGTTCAAGTGGAAGATACGTGTTCAAACCAGGTAACACACAACTGAGTTTATTGCATCTTCCCTCTCTGAAATTTCTGTGGCAGGAGTGTAGATGGTACCAGATAAGCAGTCAGACATCGTATTCTGTCCTTTTCAGGGGTTGGTTGTGAATCCCATCTGTTGTCAAAATTTTTGGAAAACGTCATCAAAAATATTTCCTGTGATCTAGTTAAGGTACCTCTAGATACATTTTCAGGGATGATAATAGGAGAAGTAATTGAGTTTGTACCCAAGCACTTGCTGCAATAGAATTTTAGTCTGTACTCTCTTCCATCGCTTTTCATAAAAGCTTTGAAAGTGTTGAGTCTCCAATGCAGCTGTCAACCTAAAGAATAATATTGATTTTTGGTAGCATGATAGTAAACCTGATAAACCTAATTAAATACCTCATCTGGTGATCTGAAATGCTATGTTGTTTTCTCCACTCAAATGTGGATTTATTTTTAAGACTTAAAGTATTCTTCTGCTCTAATCGTATTTTCAAATAACACATCCATGAAACAGATCTTTCAAGTTTGAGAATATGATGCTTATTCTAATAAGAAATCAGAGGTACTCCTGAAGCACTCCTGGATCATTTTGAAATGTTACTCTAAGAGCATTTAGACTACTTGCAGGGAATGTGATTTTTCAAAGAGAAAATATAGAAGATATATTAAATAAAACTGGTTTCTCGTTTTGGACATATTACTCAAGCTTTTCTCCTTCCTTCTCCCTCCAGAATTTCAGGCTTTGATGTTCACACAGTAAATTTAAATAACAGCTTACATCTCTGTGAATACTTGAAGCTCCTGGAGAATACACTTTTACCCTGCAGTATGTCCTCTTGAAATGATTCTTTATTGTTGTCTTTCTATGTAATGGTAATAGTATTTGAAGCACGTCAATGTAAAACCATATGGGTTCATTTTCAGAATCTGCAGTGAAGACATTCTACTGAAAATTAGAATTATACTGGTCTAAAAGAGAGATGAGAATTAGATTGCAAGGTATAACAAGGCTTAAGGAACAAGACAGATCTGTAAAACAGCAGAAAAAAAAGTTGGACTGAGGAGGATGGGGGGCCCAGCTATAGAAATCTGCATTTACTCAGCAGAGGTTTCCATGTAGCACAGCAGACTGGTACACACTCACACAAGCATGAAGCTATTGTGATACAAATATAAGTTCTCCATGTGAATATTTTAGCAACATTACGTGACCTAATGTTCCATTGCTCACTGAAGATGTAGCAGGTCTCCTCTGTGGGGCAATAGTAATATATACACCCCTTTATTACCAAATAAACAGAGTTTTCCTCATTCTGGATTAATTTCTGTTATTTGTTTATCTTAGTAGTTGTGTCAGGCACTTTGGATTTTTTTTTCTTCCTAATAAAGAAAGACTAGAAAGGTATTTGTGATAGATATGGTGCAGTCCAGCAGTTGAAGTTCATTAATAATTGGAATGTTGCAGAGTATGAAGTAATGAATACTAATTACTCCTTTCATGTCTGACAGCACCCCGTGGACCAATACATCAGCCCAGACTTTAATTTGGTTCTAGTAATGGTTTCATCAATAGTACATTAATTCTGTGTTTGAAAAGATATACAGTTGAACCTGACCCACACAGTAGATACCACTGTCATAAAATGGCCACATACTGACAACAACTGGATAATTACAAATAATTAAATCCACTGAGCTTTAGACAATCCTAATTTTAAGTAAAATATATCTTATCATATCAATCGACAGAAAGCATAGCTAGGGAGATTTATCAACTTGTACTCCTTCCAAAGCAAATTTACTAGCCTGCATATTAGAGAACTTGCTGATCTGTGAAGCAACTTCATAAAATTATATTCCTCCCCACATTGTTTACCAAGATTGTTCTTGCATCAGACTCCTTGATATTCTGTAACATCAGCTTCTGGTATTGTTTTTGAATGAAACCTGCAAAAGGAATTCTGAGCTTCAGAGAACTTCAGATATATGTATGAATTTACATTTTTCTCAAAACTTGGGTGATTATAGTGTGAACTACAGGTACTTGCTATCTCTGCAAATCAGACTTACAGTGCCTTAGTTAGAAGTATTTAGAAGTTAGAATAGATAATAGTTAGAAGCCTAACAAGCTTTAGGTGTTGGAGCTTGAGTATTTTAGTTTTAGTTTAGTTTAGTTTAGTTCAGGTTTCTGGACCTGCAAACCTGCTCAGTGGGTCTTAATATACATTAGACTGTGATCTGATATTGACAATGGCTAAAAATTGCTAAAATTATTATTAAAATAATTTAGTATATTTTCTGAGAGAATGGAGAAAAGACATAAGTGAATAAAATAATTTCAAAAACTATCTGTTGTAGTGCATGTGTGTATGTAACCATGAAAGGCATGGGGGGGGGGGGAAATTAGGTCTTACTTAATAGCAAGGTATGCAAAAGTGATTCAAAATGCACATACTGAGATCTAGTGAAGCAGATAATCAAGGCATGTAAGTAAACAGGTGCCAATTCTGTACAGATTTTTTGGCACTAACCTGCTAGTTCTGGAAGAGAAGTGACACCACTGAATAGGTTTGGTCTGGACAGACTTTAATACTAGAGTTTTATCTCTGTAATTCCTATACCATCTCTCCAGAACCATTGTTTTGGAGATAACTGGATGTAGGCATTTAACTGTACAGATCAATATCATTTTCACTCATATGGGAGATGGTAGATGAATAAATTCATTGTTCATAAGACCCTGTATGCACCATATGAACTGTTATACCCACTCATCTCCTCTGCACCTTCACAAAGTGGTAGTCACATTTCTTCAGTTGAAAGATTAGGTTATTTAGGATTATTTAAGATGCATTGAAATTTGATTTATGTGCAAATGTAGCTTGTATGAACAAGTTTCCATTCTTAAGAGGCATGACTGTTATTCATGCACACACACAGCAAGACAATTCCTTTGGTTTCTCTACAGGGATAGCTTTCCTTGCCTTGAACGTCTCACCAGCTGTGCAACTTTAAGGCAGCATTTTCCAACTGAACTAGTTTGACCAACTTACACAGTTTGCCTACTGAGATTGCCTAGTAACAGCTCCATTCTGCACTTGTTTTCACCTGATTTGTTCAACTGCTTTCTCTACGTTACTTGTTGGAGTTTGAAAGTCTTTTCCAGAAGCTTTTAATTTTAAGCAGCAGGAAGTGAAAGAAGGCTCCTTTGGAAAATGTGTTTATCCCTCTTTCTTCAAACAGAAAAATATTGTTTCCCTTTCCTTTTCTGTCCAAGAATTTATCACTTCTTTTCATTCTTGCTGAGCTGATACAAAACATTTATTTATAGGAAGCTATCCTAGTTTTTGCCATTTAGAGTCACAGCATGTTTTGGAGAACATCCACCCTGAAAGGTACTCTTTTTAATTTTGAGTTGCATGAAAATATTTGCTATGAAAAGTGTTTGCATAAACTCAAGCCATTTCATGATAAGAGATCATGTTTGTATGCTGAAGATTTTTTCGTCTTCATCAGATGCTCTCTTTGAAAGTCCTAGGCTTGTTTCCTTAGCCAGTATGTGACAAGGGAAAAGCAGTTCTTTGTGCTGGTAACTCCAATTTTGGCAGACTCATTCATAGACTTCTCACAGATGAGAGTTTGGTGTGTGTATAAGCTTCTGCAATATATTCATTCTTAGTATTTGTTTTTGCTAAAAATCAGTTATTCCTTAAACTTTACGCAGGATTTTAAGTGCCTTGGGAACCCCTTTCAAATCTCTTAATCTATTTTTTCAAGATCTATGACTATTTCAACAGCAAAACACGAGCAGATAAGAATTTCCCTTTAATTTACTTTGCATGTTCCTAAATAATAGAGAGACAGAGTTAATACGAGAGATACTTTGTTTATTCCTAACTAGAATTGTACATTAATGTAGTCCATCCTAGCAACCTCTGCTGGTGAAATAGGAGATTAAGAAGAAAAATTTCCTAAAGACTAAATCTACTTTGGGTTATTTCTTTGGAGTAAATTATTTGCTATGTCTTCTATCAAGGGCTTTCATAGCCCTTATAGTGCCTATACCTGCTGCATTTCTTCAGAAACCAGAGTCAACCTTTAAATGGATGCATTTAATTTAAAAAAATGAAGCAGTTATTTGAATAGTTGTTGCTTATACTCCTTGAACCGTGTGAGAGTAATAACAAAACATTTATTTTTCCCAGATCTGTAATTAACAGAAAAACTAGAATAGCAGCAGTAATAAAGCCAACTGAGTCATTATGTAGTTTTTGCCTTTCATAGATGATAATCACAGAACTTGGTAATTTATTGGTCTTGTGAACTGAGAACCCATAAAGTAAGTACTCGAATCCATAACTTGAAAGCCTATTATATCACTACATAGACCTTCTGGAATGTAGCGTGACTCTCTTAGTAAAGTTTTTCCACTGGCAAAGCAAACTGAAAGTCACTTTTTGTCAGATCTGTGCTTCTGTCTTTTGCCTTTGTGTGTGTGTGTTAAAAGTGCAATGAAATTGCTCTGTTTCAAGCTCTAGTGTTTCATTCTCTACAGCTGTAGCCAATTTTAAAAGGTATGAAAGGACCACAGTGTTGGAATTGAAATCCAAGTTGCAGAACTGAAAGGTGAATTCACATCTATCTAAGGAAGGCTGAATTACCTGAAGGACAAAACTGTTTGGCTGAATGTATCTAGCTGAATGTGGCTATTATGCAAGCACAAGACAGGAATGCTCATCTCCTGTAGTTAGCATTGCATTAGTATACAACATGCATACATCCAATGTTGTCTTGTAGAGTCATGGGTTTCCTAGGACCAGACACATTAAGTTATTCTTGGGAATTCACTTGCAGTGTATCATAAGTGACTGCCTTTTCATCCTAGTCCTTGGTGAAATGCAAAAGTGCTTTCAGCACACCATTTTATTTAGCTTGTGTCTTCTGGCTAAGGGGATGTCAGAGGCAGGCAAGAATGCTGACAGTTGAAATATATGCCCCTGACTCTGGCAGTGCACTGTGATATC